ATATATATATATATATATATATATATATATTGAAACAGTTATGAATACAATTGTATTATTAGAGCTAATATTTATTGTATATGTAAGAATGGCTATATCTCTCCATAATATTCAAATCTGCAAACTGTTATGGAACTCCACACGAGACAAGACCATGAGAATGGTCAGGCACTAAAACAATAAACTTTCTAATGTGAGAAGAAGATCAGCTAGAAAACCAGTTGTTCAGGTTGTCTCGATCATGCATCCTGAGCCCCCCTCTTTGCCCTGGACTTTACTTTCTCCACCAGAGCAGCTCACTCACATTCCACACAGAATGTTTAGGTTTTTAATATGGTGTATGTTGTGGCTTTATATTCATGTTTGGTGTGATTTTAAATGTCTCTGTGTGATTGATAAAGTGGTCTTAATTTCACTGTAATATTTTACAATCTCTCTTATTTCAGTTAATTTGGTTTTTGACTTTGAAAAAATCTTTGCCAGATGCTCCACTCCAGGGGAAATGGTCTTCGCATCAATTTATGACCAGGCAAGAGTCTTGGTAAAGCTTTTATTGTCTTGAATTTTTGATGGTATTGAGTATTTAGGCAAAGGGTGCAGAAGTGTCCGTGTGATCCTGTAGACAGGATACCCCATTGCAGGTTGTGAGTCTCTGAGCTCTGCATCAGGACTTATATGCTGCAAAGTATTTCTACATGGTCAGGTATTCTCTTAACTCTTAAACGTATCTCTGAATAATTGATTCTGAACATTCTTGATTGGCTTATGTTGCACTTAAATAAAAATATGCTGTATAACATTTATTATTAAGCACTTAAAATTACCACACACATCACCCGTATTCCATGTGAAGGGCACATAGTTTACCCCTTTTTTTATGATTTAATATGAATATTATGGTTCTTCTGAGTGTGCCAGTTTAGGTTCAGTTCAAAAAACAGTTCAGAAAACATATTATAATGTGTTAAAAGTGTCATTTTGGGGGCGTTTACACAGTTTGCTGTTTTAGGGGCATGTTGCTTCACAGTTTTGGCTTCCATCCCAACGTAACAAGCGGGCGGAGCCAAGAGCTCCCACACTCTGTGTTTGCAACAGACAGGCAAACACAATGGCGCCGAGCCGCTGACCTGAAGCTCCACCGCATGCACCCCGACAGAAACCCGTGGCGCTAACCTGAAGCTCTGCCACGTGCCCCCCGACAGAAACCCCATGCCACGCAGAGCCGCTGACCTGAAGCTCCGGCGCGTGCACTTCAACAGAAACCCGCGCTGAGCCACTGATCTGAAGATCAGCCGCGTGCACCCCGACAGAAACCCACGCCGAGCTGCTGACCCGAAGCTCCGCCATGTGCACCCTAATAGAAACCCACGCAGAGCCGCTGACCACGCAAAAGGTACAAGCAATAATTCCGATTACAGCGATAATGTGGAGAATATTCATCTTGTGTTGAGCCCAATGAGCTTTTCATCAAAAAGTAGAGCAAGGGTGTTCCTTTAGTGATATCGCTTTGACTCACATGCTGAAAATGGGGGACGTGTAACAACAAACTGAGGTATGATCGTGACGTGCGGCTGTCAATCAATATTGGTGGGTTGGGGGACTGCACTCTTACGTAAAGTTGCGGTCTGTCTGAAAACCGCTCTAATTGGTCCTCCATTTTTTTGTTGTTAAATTGAAAAAAAGGACTGTGTGTGTTTATATCACCCCAATATGAGGGTCTATACACTTTACTTACACACGTCTGTCTAAAAAAGTAGATTTTTCAACTGCCCTTTAAAGCAGCGTTTATGTGTCTAGTAATTAAATAATCAGCTGTTCAGCAGTACCTGTTTCTACCGGCAGGTGGGAGTGGCTCTGTTGTCACATGGTTTAAAAAAATTCTGCCACTGCACTTCATTCATTCATTATTTTGAAGAGCTAAAGCTGATGAGGTAATAATACAACTGTTTTGCGAAACTGAATAGTACTAACTACTGATGAAGCCTAATATTTGTTTTCACAGTATAAAATGCGAGTAGTTTTGGTGAATTAAAATAACTGCAATCAATAAAATGTGCATCATATCAATGTAAATACATGCAAATTAGTCAAAAAAACGTAAATTGTACTAGCTTTCTAGATATGATATAGATATCTAGACATATTTATCTTCATATGATATAGCCAGTCACATGTTTCTGTAATAGTTAAATCACATGCATCCAGCATATTATTGTATAGCTACATTCTACTGTAACATGCTATGTCAGTTAGCAACGGATTATAAATCGACTTTCTTATGATAATACCCAAGATGGCTGGAAGAACACATACAGTTGAAGTCAGAATTATTAGCCACTCTGTTTTTTTCCCCCATTTTTTGTTTAACGGAGAGCTTTTTTTCAACACATTCATCTTTATCTTCATTTATTTTATCTTTGCCATGCTGACAGTAAATTATATTTGTCTAGACATTTTTCAAGACACTTCTATACAGTTTAAAGTGACATTTAAAGGCTTTAAATGCAGATTAGGGTAATTAGGCAAGTCATTGTATAACGATGGTGTAACGGGGAGACTGACACGGAGGGATCCATTTTGCAGTATTTATTAAGTCACACTTAAACATCAACACCTCGCACGGCTGTGCGAACATACAACTTACAACTCAACGATGATTAGCAGATAACAGAGGCAGAGTGATTACCAGGCTTGAGTCAAGGGCAGGCAGCGTGGTTCAGAGTCCGTAATACAGGCTTTAGTCAGGGGCAGGCAGCGAGAATCAGAGTCCGTGTAATCAGGCTTTTGGTCAAGGGCAGGCAGAAGACAGAGCAGGGTCGAGAAACGGGCTGAAGTGGTCAACGGGAAATCAGGCAGGAGAGAACGCTCAGAAATGCTGGCCGGGGCTAAACAAGACTTCGCAATGAAGTGTGTGTGTGAGCTGCTTATATGTGGTACGTGGGTCATTAGTGAGATGGAGAACAGGTGTGCTGGGATCTGAGTGAAAAGGATGACGTAATGGTTAGAAGTCCGGAGATGGTGACCTCTGCTGGTCAGCGAGGGGAATGACTGGGACCGAGTCGGTGACAGATGGTTTGATTTGTGGATTATCGGTTAGAATATATAGCTTAAAGGGGCTAATCATTTTGACCCTAAAATGTTTTTTTTTAAATGTACAACAACTTTTATTCTAGCCGAAATAAAACAAATAAGACTTTCTCAAGAAGAAAAAATATTATCAGACATACTGTGAAAATTCCCCTGCTCTGTTAAACATCATATGGAAAATATTTTAAAAAAAAATAATTAAAATTCAAAGGGGGGCTAATAATTCTGACTTCATCTGTATGAAACATTTATTGTCACAGTCGTGTAAATGATCAATTAAAACCTTTTCATGTTTATTCAGATCTTATTTTCAGCTACAGCAATTGCTGGATACCTTCATCCATATTAGGGATTTACTGGAATGTTCTGCTACTTTTGTGAGACATATATGGAATTTCTGCTCAATGAATGAATGAAACAGGCATTATGTATTTAAAGTGCTACAATGCCCACAACAACCTATTTTGAGGAAAACTAAAAAAAATCTCACTCTTGAAGAATTTGAAGTAAGCATTTTTCTAGCATATAGATCTTTATTTATAATTTTTGTACTAGCTTTGATACAATTATTATTATATCAAAATAATAGCCTAATGAATATCAATATTTTGCAAGGTTTTGAATTTAGAAATTCCAGTATCTTGACAACACTACACCTTAATTACTCTATCCAAATTAACATGTGTAGCTTTGTATCACATTGGATAACAGCTCACACTATAAAATAAATCATATTTTCAGATTTGAAGACACGCAGAAAATTACATTTTAAAAAAAGAAACAGAAACTGCACAGCAGGAAATGAGATGCTTAAGAGGTCTGATATGGCTCATAACAGACTAGTAAATGAGAAATGGGTTCATTTATCAGTGTTTTTTTTTTCCTTTTTGGTGTTGCAAGTCACAAAGCTTCACAATTTATTGTTAAAAAACTCAAAAACCCTTTATTTCTTATTAAACCATTTAGAATCCTATTATTAACATTAGAGTACATCACCTTATAAAAGTGGGGGTATATTAGTGGGGGGTACCTCTTTGAGGCTAAGCCCCTTATCCCTTTCAACCCTAGCAACGCCCCTGGTTCACACAATAATACACAAAGAGAGTCTTTAACTTCACGCATACAGTAGTTTGTGAATGAACAGACTTACGTGTTGCCTACTAGTTGCAGACGTGATCATGAGGCTGTTTTTGTGCTGAGTTTGAAGTAATCAATCACAGAACAGGAGAAAGTGCATTACTGCATTCATTTTAACATAGCATATTCAAATCCAAACATTTAAGTATATTTCGAGTTCATTTTAAGTTCTTGTAGCCCACCTGTTGGATCGCTGAGGCCCACTAGCAGACATCCCAAGTTGGAAAAAGTAATTTCCGGGGGATACAGAGTTGATTTGCGGGAGGTTGCAGATTAGTGGGTGCTTAAACGCATCTGTGAAGGGGGCGTGTGCGCGCGAGACGTACTTGATGAGCGGTGGGGGTGAGTTGCGCGCGACGTACCTAAAGAACGGTGGGGGTGAGTTGCGCGAGACGTACCTGAAGAGCAAGTAGTGGAGAGAGGGGTGTGCAACATATTTAAGGACCGGGCAGGAGACGCGTGACTTCCGGGAGATTATCATTCATTTGCAGGCATCCGGGAGTGTCTATGCATTTCAGGGATACTCCCGCAACTTCCGGGAGACTTGGGATGTCTGCACTAGTGGGCCGCTGCTCACCGGGTTGAGAATCCCTGCTTTATCAGATGAAATTAACCATTTGCAGTTGGCCATCCAGTGGACACAATTGGAACAGCAGCTTCATTTATTGAAAAATTGCAACTCGTCGTTATACTTTACAGAATCATCTCGTGGGCAGGATTAAACCTGTTTGCAGGCCTGATCCCGTACGTTTGACACTCCTGATATACACCCCCATGTGTTGATTAAGGTTTGATCAGCTGTTAAAACTCCTCCCACATTGAGTGCAAATGAATGGTTTCTCTCCTGTGTGGACCCTCATGTGTCGATTAAGAGATGATGATTGGTTGAAACTCCTCCCACACTGAGTGCTTGTGAATGGTCTCTCTCCAGTGTGGATCATCATGTGATTATTAAAGTTTGATAATTTGTTGAAACTCTTCTTACACTGAGTGCATGTACATGGTAGAGATTTAGAGTTTTTTAAAGCGTCCGTTAGGTCCAGAATTACAATAGATTTGAAGAATTACAAGGCCATAAATGATGCTGAAACCTTTGAACAACAGTGGGGTTACAAGGACGCTGTCTGGACTGTGGAGGAAGGAAAGCTGCTTTTAAATTTGCTGAGAAGTTACAATTTGTTATATGAAAAATCTATGTAGTTTTGTAAAAATTAAAATCTCTCACACACACAAACACACATGCTCTCTCTCTCTCACACACACAAACACATACACTATCTGTCTCACACACGCAGACACACTCTGTCTCTCTCTCTCACACACACACAAAACAGTGAACACATGCGCAGACAACACATGTGCTCTTTCACTCATACTGCTGCTGACAGCTCCTGTAGAGGATTCTGGGTAAATCTCGCATCAGTCTTCAGCTCAGTTTCACTGATGATCCAGAATAAACAGTAAACCCAGGGCAGAGCGGCTCAGTGAATGTGGTCTGGACTGAGTGGATGAGGCTCATTGTGTCTCTATAGATGTTGTAGAAGATCAGAGTTCCTGCACTGTGATCCACAAACACTCCTATTCTCCTGCTGACCGGCTCCACTCGGACATCAGTGTCTTCGTTATTGTGTCTGAATGAGAAACTGGAGGAAGAGCAGCGCAAACTCCAGGACTGATCATTACATCCAAACACACACTCAACACCATCTCCCTTCCTCCTGATGCTCTTATATAACACTGATATTTCCACAACATCTCCACTCCAGTCAATCTCCCAGTAACAGCGTCCACACACACTCTCTCTGCACAACACCTGAGGATGAACATCAAATCTGTCTGGATGATCAGGATACGGCTGTTTCTCCTTCACACGCTTCACCTTTTTGTTCTCCTCAGACAGAATGAGAAGAGTGTTTGCTGTGTTTGGATCCAGTGTGAGAAAACAGGTATCTGAACACAAGAACACACACATTTATAACCACAGCTGTGTGTGTGTGTGTGTATATGTATGTGTTGATGTAGTCCTACATTTGTGTGGTCCTGCTGTAATCCTCATCTCTTCTCCATGATTCAGACTGTAAACACAAAGAGACTGACATTTAGTCAGTAAACAAACATCAGCTTATATCACACACACACACACACACAAACAGAGATGTCTTTGTCAGTGAGGTGAGATGGTCTTGTTGTGTCTTGACATGTTCAGTGTGATCATATTCTCCTTCATCCTGGATCAGTTGTGTTCAGAGCTGCGACATGTTGATGAGGAAACAACGATTGAACCCGCACACCCCTCTGCAAATGTGCAGCTGCACACTCCTGTGTGCTTATGACAAGGCCTGTTGCCTATATCTGCTTTATATAGCGTATAGTTAGAGCTATAGTAGCCTTCTTACCTGCTGTAAATCACTCTGGCCTCCAACCATTTAATGGAATTTTCTAGAAATATGTTATTTAGTAAAACTTTATAATAACTGCACACTATCAACTATTCATTAAGCAATAGCACATAGTTATTTCATTATTTATTAAACATTAGCATATAGTTATTTCATTATTCATTAAGCATCAACTCTACATTAATAGATGACACAGACACAGAGTTGTGCTCCTTTTCTGTTTAGCCATAGTTTATTGTGTTTTCTCTCCCACACTTTGCTTATGTTGGTTGTTCAGTTAATAAAACCCTTAGACTTATCCATTTGTGTTCTCCCTTATTTGATGTTTTGACTGTGCTCGTAACAATGATAAACCACTGTGAGTTTCACTCAACTGGTGCAGATTTGCCCTCGGAGTCAGGTTTTGATACAACACCTTGTGCATTGAGCACAGATGACTTTATCACAAACACAGTGCATAATATAAAGACAGACTGTGGAGGTGAGTTGAGAACCCCTATGCTGGATTCAGTGACTGGCGCATCTCTCTTCCGTTCTGCTGTGAAGGCTGTCAGATCAGATATATGTGTGTGTGTGTGTGTGTGTGTGTGTGTGTGCGGTGATAACGTGAGGTGCACTCGTTATAATCAATATAAATATTCCGATCAAACTAAATACAATCTTACATCAACAACACATGGCAAGCAACAAGTTGATAATAACAAATAATCATATTATAAACAACCCAACTAGTTGTTTAGCACGTATGCATCTCTGCTGTTATGTTTACACATGTAATATTTTTTCTGAGGCGATTTAAAGCAAAATACACAATTGCACTCAATAAAACATATCTAAAATGATAAGGAATATGGCTACTTACTGAGTTTAGTAACGCACATCAATACCACATGAAGAAAGGACAGACTTTGAAGGAATAAACAGTGTGAAAAAAGCTCTATTATAGTGCACTAGTCAAGTCTGAACAAGTTCCACCCACGCATCAAGCCATGCGTGCACATAAACAAGACTAGAATCCGCAGCCAATGAGAGAACTCATTAACCACATGTTCATATGACAAGACAAGCACAATACTGAAGCACTTAACAAAAGCATGCGACCACAATGTAAACAAAGAGACACATGCTTAGACTACACCAACATAAACAGATGCAAACCATGAGTACAAGATAGATGAAAACACCTCACCGTGCACTCACACATATGCAACGAGCATGTTTCATTTCAGCAAGAACCAGCCTAAGACACAGAATGAAACACAAATGTGCTTAATTGTTACAAATATAATTATAAATAACAATATTTTTTATAAGTTTTGGTACAATACTGCAGCTTTACATAGAGGATCAACAAAAATTAAAGAAGGAAATAATAATAATAAAAATATATATATATATATATATATATATATATATATATATATATATATATATATATATATATATATATAAGAATTAGAGTTTTGTGCACAAAACCTTGAGAGCTCCAGCACGACATTCAGACACACATGCATCAAGAATCAGGGTATGAACCTCAACCATGGTGGCTTAAAGAAAAAATGCTGCATAATTCATTCATGCCGCAATGCATGCTGGGTGCCAGCATAGTACAAAGCTCTCAGCATGCATTGCAGCATGAATCCATTTTACAGCTTAAAGTTTTTTTTTACAATTTCTTTCTCTGCCTTTAGTTTTGTCTTTTCCTGGGTATAATATTTCAACAGAGATATTTTCTCTGGTATTTTTAATACAACAGAGTGTATATTTTCAATAAAAAGAGTGTTTTGAATTGTTCTGGGTTGTTTTTATTTGATTTTTATTTTTTGTTTGTCACGATTATTGAGATTCAAAGACTAAGAGTGCTTTCACACCTGTGAATCGATTCAGTTGTTCCAAAAGAGAGATTACAATTGTTACATTGTTGCTCTTTGGTCTTGGAGCGGTTCGCTTTCACACTGCAAAGTTTCCAATCGGACCAAAAGAGCTAAAACAAGTCACGTGCGAGTAAACTCTCCTCACATTGGTCAGAGTGTCAGGGTTTATTTTGCAGCGTCCCGCTCAGCTGTCAGGAAAGGTGGTGGTTTGGTGGTGATTGACAGGGTGCGCGCGCGTGACGTGTCTGAGAGACACGGTGGGGAGGGGTGAGAAGGGTGCGCGACGATGCCTATTTGAGGACTGGGAGAGAGACGCGAGATTACCGGGAGATCATCACTCGTTTGCGGGCATCCGAAGACTCGCGAAACTTCCCGCCCTACTCATAATTCTCTCTTCATATAGCCGTAAGCCTATTACATATCCATAAAACACTGTGATATAACTGCGCTCGGATCGTTTGCTTTCTCACTGCAATCAAACCGCTCCAGGGTTCGTTTCAATCGAGCCGAGACCACCTCATTCAAGCGATCTCGGAGCGATTACTTTGGCGCGGAACAGAGCGCGATTGCCCTGTTCACATATGCCAATCGAACCGCGCTAACTGGGCAAACGAGATACGTTCCGAAACAAAAGTGTAGGTGTGAAAGCACCCTAATTGTTAATGTCTGTGTGTTTTTGAGTTCTTCCATAGTTCAAACATTCTCATTGTAAGTGGTGTTTATAGGCCTGTTAAACAATGATTGCTAAAGCTCCAGTGGTTTCATTAGTTGCGTTTGTGCTATCATGCCTAAAGTAAGCGAGCCAGGGTGAGCCAAGGTCAGTTGTGTTTGCACTGTAACTTCCGGGTCCTAATCCTTTTTCGGCCCGTCGAATGCCTTGGGCCAAGGAGGGCTAGCTGCGGCTTCGGGGCGGAGTGAAAAGAGAGACAGAAACTTTCCTGATCGCACACGAGTTCATGCACCAAACAAATAAATAAACAAATAAATAAATAAGGGAAAGAAAACTGTCACGTTTGGCGTGATCAAAACAAGAAACAAAAAACAGAAAGGTGGGATCCAAGTGCGGTTTATTTACAGTGTGCATCAACAGTTAAACAAGGTGCTCAAAGTACAAATAAATAACAAAACAAGAAACAAAAAACAAAGACAAGGCTCAAGAATCAAAACTCGAATATCAGACTTACTGGGAAAACTGCGGCAGGAAAGACAAGAAGGACAAACGACGCGATGACAAACAAAGGTGTAATGGTAGAATATATAGTCCAGATAATCAACAGTAACACAGAACAGATGAGATGACGGGTCAGTGTAAGTGTTCCGGTGTATGCGCGTGGGATGTATGAGAATGTAGTTCTTTACTGGAGCGCTGCAGTGCCTACAAGTCCTAGTGCACTACAGCGCCCTCAGGTGGTCACTGACGGATGTGACATTACCCCCTCTCTAAAGAGCGGCTTCCAGACGCTCCCAGAAAGGGGGGGGGGGGGGCAGAGCAGAGCAAGAACAAAGGGAGGGATGGGAGGGCCAGATCAGGGCTAGTCTGTGCTTCAGGCGCCTCGGCAAGAAGCCAGGGTGCGGCCAGGGAATCCGTCCCATACAGTGGGAAGGACCACCAGGGAGGGGCGGGAGGGATGATCCATGGATGATCCTGCAGGAAACACAAGGCAGGAGTTCTTAGGAGAGCCGGGTGGAGAGGCAACTGGACAGGAG